GTACTTACTTATTAGCGCAACTACCTTATTAAGAAAATATGGTAAAATTTCTATAAGAATACATTACTTTGCACAAATTCACTGAAGAGAACTACTATTTTGAAATCTGTTCTTAAAGCAGTCACCATAAAATTTCCATCAGAATGAAACAAACAAAATTTCACATAAGCAGGTTTGTTAATTCATTTTTAGCATAAATATCCAATTAAAATGCAAAATACACACATCATATTTTTTGCAAATATCTCTTTGTTATAAACCATCTTTTTTTGCCGATATGTCAGAAAGATGCGCTAATATGTTAGTCTTTCTTTATAACATCTCTACAGAGCAAAGTGCTAATTAATCATTAGAATACAAAATATGAATTCTTTATAATTTAATAACAAACAATGTACATTTAATAGGGGGGGAATATGTAACATATTAAACACTAAAACTCATCAACAAAATTTAAGATAAAAAAATCATGGAAAAGATATTTTTAAAGAAATAATTACTGTATATTGCTAACAATTTATAATTAAAAATCACAAAATGCATTTTGAATTTTACAGCACATGCTTTGTTTTTGAAAATGTTATTTTTTGTTACCCATAGAAAACATTTCAATTGGCCATCTGGATTTCACAGTAATGACTACATTCTTCAAACTGATGATATTTTTTTTTAAACTGAATTAATTTAATTTTGATTCAATATCAATAACATGAAGGATTTGTAAGAATCTTTGATTGAGACTGCATACAGTAAGACAGTCTTGTGAGACACTAAGAAAATAAATAATGAATTTTACTTTTAAGTATTTTAGCTTTTAAGAACTTATGTTTAATACATTTAAAATGCAACTGACAATACCACCTCATGCAAATTTAAAATAAATATTTCTTCAGCATGTAATAAGCTTTACAAGAATATTTATCTTTTATTGCAAAAAAATTGTAATACATTTTGACTCCAAAAATCAGCTACCACTTGTTTTACAAATGGATAAGAAAGGATTAATTATCATATTAATCTGATGCAATGCATATTTTGCCAATATTAATTCCATAACCTATCTATATTCAGTTCTCTCAAAGAAAACCATCTCAAATATTTAGAACTGTTGGAAAATTTGTCAAACTTTTTTAAAAATTAAAAACTTAAACAGCTAAAAGTAAATATATATAAACTGAAGTTGTTCAGATTTTAACAATTGTCAAAAAGGGTTTTTTAAAAGTTTAACTTTTAGTTACACAGGTGGCGCACAGTGTGCTACAGTTCTTGAAAACCTTTTCACAAATTCCATGAAAATCACGTGACTAACACCTACTCCTAACCTAACCTTTGTCCATTTATTTGTTTCAGAAAAGGAAGGCCTAAAACGTTGAAGGTCAAAGTTTCCCGCGTTTCATTTAATGGCGCACAAGGTGCTACATTTGCGTAACAATGTAAGTATTTGTTTTCACACTTCATAGTTTGTTTTTTAATTTTAGCATGATTAGAAAGTAATATTACTATTCATAATAGTTTAGAATTATTTAATTTCTCAATCTTTCAATTATTTACTAATATACAACAAATGAGCTGACTTTCTTATATTTATTTCAGGTTCTCAAGGAGAAAAAATATAGTTCACCCTGATGATTATGCAAGACTTCTTCAACAGTTATCAGATGAAGAATTAAGCAAATATAATGACGGAGAATTCGAACAACTATAATCTGTTCACTCTGTAAAAATCACATGAAACAAATAGGTTATTCGTGTACAAATTGTTATAACCAGAAAAATAATGAAGAATATGATATGTCCGAATAAAAAAATATTCATAATGCAAGTTTCGTTTTCTTTTTTTATCAAATATATTTTATTCCAGAATTTTCATTAAATTGAATAGATTTTTATTTCATTGATTGGCATACATGTTATTTATTTAAATGTTTTATTTACTAAATAATATTAAAAAAGATGCCTTTATAACTGGCCCACTTTAACAAAGGGTAATATTTTTCGGTAGAACAACATACACGGCCCTGGAATTAAAGTTTTTATAGGATATTCAGAATATGCATTAACTAACATGCAACATACATATCTTAATTGTATAAAAATATTTTAATATTTTTAAATTATCTTATCGTGATTTAAATGCATTTTAAGCCAAACAGATAAAAAATTAGAGAATTCCATCTGTTGCTTTTAAAATCTAGTTTTTTAATTAATTAGAAACAAGATTAAACATAAAAGAATAACACTTTAAATTATTCTGAATGGCAACAGACTTAAATGAAAAATGAAATATAAAACCGTGTTTTGAGACTAATAGCCATTTTTGGGCTAAAAAGAAAAGAGTTGCCCTTTTAATTAAAACCCATATTTGAAACAAAAGAGTTATTGTGAAATTATATATAATATTTATAATGTATCCTTTAAAAAGTTATATCTATGCATCAATAATTTAACAGATTATTTTAAAGCAAAATTTTTCCTAAATTTTAAGCAAAAGCTAAGGAAGAATAGTGTATATGTATGACAAAGAGAGGAAAATAAACTGTACATAGCCATAAAATCTTCTGCAAAAGCAAACAAAGCAAAACATATACATAATTTAATTGTTTATTATTTATATCTTAATAAATTAGATATCCCACAGTAAAAATTTAGACATACACTTTTGTAGAAATATATTTAAAGAGGTACACCATACATTATTTTTTAGTATTTAATCAATTACTAATTATTTTTTAGTATTTAAAACATAATTATTTATCCCATAACTGGAAATCCTCGACAAAAGTCTTGACCGTGACATGCTTTTTGAAAAGCCATGGTACTAATCACCTCATGAACAGAGTGTATATAATTAATAAAATTTGAATAATGGAGATTAAAACAGGGTTGCCACTCAAACAGGAGAATGAAATTCCCTGACTTTTCCAGGTTTTCCAGGTGCGTTTCAAGAAAATTCCAGTCTATCCGCGTAATGTACGTTGGATACGCTAAGAGGTAAATTATGGATTACTTGTATTGTTAGCAATTCACTTAATTATTCAATAAACCCAAGAGGAATTATTATTCTTAATTATTCTTGGTATACTTGTTTGATAATTTTGTTTACTTTTCCCACTTAAGAAACTTAATAAATTAAGATATATACTTGGAAACAAATGTATGTTTTATTTAATTATTACTCATGATCATCACCAGTTCAACCGAGGCTAATCCGGTCCTTATAAATCAAACGCAATGCTAAATAGTTAGGCTATTTTAGGTAAATTTAATTTGTGTGGGTATGTTCTTAAAAAGCACCTTAACACTTGAAAACACAAATATAATTATAATAGTTCTTGTTTCTTCATGAAGGTGAGATTAGAATCTTCCCAATCTGGAATAAAATAAGGCTTTTTTTGCAGACATTCTGCAAACGAAACAAAGAAATCTATTTAATAAATTGAGGTATTTTATATTTAGTTCGCAGCATACATAAGAAAAAAATATGTGCATTAAATTCGTGATGGTATGTCATCATACTGCTAGAATTAATTTCAAGATTATGCCAGAGAAAAATTTCCTGAATTTAGAAATTTATTTACTAATAATTAATAAATTTAGAGGGAAGAAGCATCATTAAATTATATGAATACATAAAATAAAGATATACTTAAAAATTGAATTAGAATAATCAACGATTTTAGCAATATAGTTTTATTACCATGGTTAGCCTAGATGACAGATACTATTTTTTTATTTTACTGCAAAATGGCAGGTATTTATTAAAAAAAAAGTTTAAAAAGATTTTGCGGTAAAATGTAGTATACGGTAAGGCTTTGGCACGATTTTGAAAATTGTCGCCAAGACCAAAATGACCCGTTTACTGCGCATCACCATGTCGCCAAATCCATACATGGAGATTATTTTAACCAAAAAACGTCTATGCAAAGAATCTCTAATTTTTGGTATATGTAAAGAAGAAAATTTTCCTACAGTAAATGCTATTACGCCGCTAGAATGCGGAGGGAAAATTTGCCAGGGATTTGGCGAGGAACCTGGCGGCCAGATTTCCCTCTCTGCGATGTGTACCGGAAATTGGAAAGTGTAAGAAGAAACGTTCTTGACAAAAAAAAGCTACGAAAATCCGTTTTTAAATTATTGCGAAAAATCCAGAAGAAATGTTTTATCAAAGGACGTTTCTTCTTGGATTTTTTCGCAATAACTTTAAAAACGGATTTTTGCATATTCCCCCCCCTTAAAATTACTAACCTATGAATTAATTTACTTGCACAAAAAAATATTTTCTTTTAATTTAGAGTGTAACTACTTGCGCTAAGACTAAACTTCACGGTTGCGGTGCCGTGCGCTACAATATAGCAAGTGGTAAAGTGTCTCATTTACGCCGCTCCGCATCTGCAAATGCAATCCAGAGCTGTAACTCGAGAAATAAACAATCTCATTGTTAGGCGACGTGTGCACCATGTTATTTTCATTTTTGCGATAAATGCTTATCGACGTGGTGTTCACGTCGCTCGCAGTTTGAGACAAAACGTCTTTTTAGCGCAAGTGGTTAAAGAAATTTTAAAGGATATTCATTTAATGAACTCTTGATAACGTGACCTTCGAACTTCGACACCGGTTTCCAGCTTTGGCGGCAGATATATCACGCATGCACAGCTGGTTCCCTCTATGATGGAACGGAGCCACGTCTGTTGCAGAGAGGTTTCCCTTCTTTACAATACATATTCTTTGATGCTAACCTCCATGGTACCGTATACTAAGATTAAACCCATTTTGTTTTATACGAGAACAGGTACTTTACTAAAAACCAAAAGTTGCGGGAAACTTGCTTTGCCTTTCTAAAAGGCAATCAAATTGGGAGCTGCGAAAATTGGCTCTATGCCAGCAGACACTCAAGTGATAGGCAATTCGCCAAAAAAGTTTTTCTTTCCGACGTCGGCGCAAAAATCGCTTTTTTTGGCGGGATCATTGTATGAAACTTCCCTGACTTTTCCAGATTTTGACAAAAATACTTAAATTCCTGACCTTTTCCCTGAATTTTTTGGTCAATTTTCGAATTCCCTGACTTTTCCCGGTTCTCCCGGTTTTCCAGGTAGCGTGGCAACCCTGTTAAAAAATCAAATACACAGCATGTGCACATGAGATAATTTTACAGGTTCTTTAATAGCATAGAGAAAATTCTGACTGATTAAAACAGAAAATCATATTACCCAAGGACTTCATAACAAACACTAAATTAATTTTTCAAGCAATATTCCAATTACAAAATTTGAAAGCATGGATAACAAGTTTTAAAATTATGTTCTTTTAAATAATAAAAATTTCTTAGAGGGTTTCTGATCTCTTAAGTAATTTTTTTTTTTTTTTTTTTCCTTCTGATATTGCAATACAACTCAGGACACTAGTAATCATAGCTTTGGAACTTGGAAACTTATACAAATGAACTAACAGAATAACTGTAAAATTGTATATTAAGCAATATAAAAATTACTAGTCATGATGATAAAATTGCCTTGAAATTGACGCTATATATTTTTTTTACATTATTATGGCTGCATGCATACAATTCAGTTCCACTAAGATTCTCACTAATGAACAGATGAAATAATGGAGGAAATATTACAACTACTACTCATGATTTGGCCTCTGAAAATGCTGAATTCCACAGCTAAGTGACTTTTTTAACCAGTCCAACTGAGGCAATCACATGTGATTGTTACATAAAAAAAAAAACACAACAATGAACTGACTGGAGAAATATGACTAAGAAATAACTTCAGTAACTATTCCTTCATGAACAAAAAATAACTGGATTCTTAATTGTTTCCTTGGTTTTAATAAAATAATGCTCTTAAAAAATTATGAAAATGAAAATATAATATTAAACTAAAGCAAATGGTAGCTTCAAGCAGGTAAGAGATCAAAATCGTCACTGACATGTACCATTGGTACAAAAATATCATCAATTACAGGAGATGTTTTCATATCACACATGGCTAGCTCCTTCATCTTCCATTCCCAATCAAGCTTCTGCACTGCATGCAATGATTCTGCTTCATTGTGATGCCTTAGTAACATTGCCTCCTGTAATAAATAAATTAAAAAATGAAAGCATACATACATTGTTATTTCTCATATACTTTTCTCCCCCCCCCCAAAAAAAAAAACCTCATGACTTGCTTTGGACAGATATTAAATATGATCACACTTGAAAATTACTGAATTTTTTTTAAACATCTGCCACATTTCTCAATTATGAATGCATGAAAAGCTGTTTTTAGTATGCTTCCATAGACACAGCTTCCTGCAATAAATAAAATTCTTGCTCCCCCTAATATTATTATTATTATTATTATTATTATTTAAAAAAAAAAAAAAAAAAAAAAAAAAACTTGCTTTTGACAGATACAAAATATAACTGCACTTGAAAATTATTACATAAAAAAACCCCTCCCACATTTTTTAATTATGAATACACAAAAAATACAATATTGTACAGAGTTCAAGATCCAGACTCATCCGGACTTCCACGATTCCGGATTTTTCTGGATATTAGATCCTCGGTTTAAATCTAATAAAATGACATGTAGAAATTATCAAATTAAAATATGAAATCATGATTTATGAAATAATGAAGCAAATATGATCTAAAGGGTATCAACATTTACAAAAGCTTAATATTTATTTGTTTACTTTAAAACATCTTTTTCATTATATGTTGGTTAAGTTGCTTTGTTTTTGGTGCTAAAACTTTCCCTTTAATTCTGTAGACAGACATAATTCCTTGTTCAGTTACATAGAAGTCCTGTAATTGGTATGTCGAAAATTCCAACTAATTTGTCAATCAAAATTTTTTCGTTTCTCTCTGTCACTTTCTTCACCATCAGCAGCGGTATTTTCTGGATCTAGAGCCATACTACAGATTTTGCCATCCATTAATTGATTGATGATTGAGGAGCATTGTCATCATTATGAAAAACTTCTTTTATATCATCTTCATTTATTACCTCTTCTCCACATTTCTTTACAAAATCCGTTACTTGAAAATTTCACCTTTCGTTTGGGATATTCAAAAACCATTAAAATTTGCAGCTACTATCATAAAATCCAGCTATCGTTTACTATACACATTTGCCTATGTAGATTGGCGACTAAAGACAAGTTGTTCCGCTAAATTTTATCTTGCTTCTATTCTGCACTAAGACGCCTGAACTGTGTTAGTTTAGTTATTTATTATAATTATGTCTATTTCTTGCACATACTTAAGGCTTATCTAAGTCCTAAATAAATAAATTCCCATTTATACTTAAGGCTTATGGAGGGCTGGTGCTAGATATCTTACTGTCTGATGCAGTCTCTGCGGGTCCTAAATTCTGCAGCCCATCGTGGCCATACAAGCCCTGGCTCTTGGTTTACATGAATGACAAATCAGTTATTCTTAATTTAAAGGGCAATAAATGTAACCTTTTGGCCTATGAGTATCATTAACAAAATTTATTTTTAGCATATGGAAAGAAATTTTTCCTCGTCAATATTTCTTAGCACATTTAACTTAAATCTGCAATCATTGCTAAGTGTTAATGTCAACATAAAAGGTTACCATACTTTTCGTTATTCATTTACTTACACACACACACACACACACACAAAGTTTAGGCATTGCTATATGAGTCACTACTCAATTTGTCATGTTTTGATAAACATGCAGAGATGAAAGCAAAATATAATAAATAATGATTCCCCATATAAAATATTAGTAGGTATAAATTCAAGGATGTATTTATGTAAAATGTTTCGATTTCAGATGCAAGCCAAGCAGGCAATTTGGCAGCTACAGAGCCAAATTACTGATGATACAAATTTATGCTAAAATGATTGTTTCAAACTTAAAATGGTCTTTTAAAAAAAAAATAAATAAATAACTTACAAATAGAAATAATTAAGAACATATAAAAACGTGCACTATGTAAACAGCAGAGAATTAATCTAGTCACTACATATTAAAAAAAAGATATCAAAATATCTATAATTCAGTTGAAATATTATATAAAATGAATTAATTACCTTTATTTTTTCCCATTTATCATCAACATCTTGCAACCATGATAAAAAAAGGCGACCATTATATCGAGATCTTACGTTTTTGTCTTTGTCATCCTATGAAAAAAAAATTGACAAATGAATAAATTCAAAATGGATTATATATTTATAGCTCTTGGTTAAAAACTTTTAATTAATATCCTGCTTAAACCTAAATTTTAACTGCATTCTTATTCATATGTTATTTTAAGGTTAGAAAGTAATTTTGATAGTTCAAAACTGACTGTTATGGTGAAATCAGGATATGCAAGTCTAACAATGAAAGAAAGCCTAACAATAATATAAAATGCATACTTAATAATCAGAATCCTTAAAATTTGGCTAAAATTTTATTTTAAACATTTTAAAAAGATTAAATTTATGATTTTACACATTATGATTATAAAAACAAAAAACTTCAAATTTTGTGAAATAACCAAAAAGTGCCATTTCATACAATTCAATTTTTAATTTTATTTGGGCAAATAATAAATAAAATAACACATGAAAGAAAATAAAACACACATGGTCATGAATCCTAAAGATTTTGACATACAAGACCAATTTAAATTATACAAAATTTGACACACAGATATATGAGCTAAAAGGTAAATAAGGAAAAAAACTAAACAAATCTAAACTCTATGTACTTCCTAATAACTTAAATTTTTTTAACACAATGAATTAATACTACAAATTACTCACACAGAAAGAGAAATTACACGTACAATTTAAGGTATTTCAAATTAATCTAAAACATTTATTGCATATATCACAACACATTACATTAATACATAATTATTACATTACATTAATAATATAATGTAATACATTGCATTATATTATTAATCACTGCATATACTATATATTATTGTGTTGCAGATATTACAATAACCAACTCAAGATTACTTTAACTACCTGATCTACCTCAAGAACATTGTAAATTTCTTCATCCTTTAAAATGCTGCACACAGACAGAGGAACAGTTTGATTTGCCATTGCACGAGCTGCCCTACCATGGACACGTAAAATCTCCTGTTCTGCAGACAGTACCAATTTTTCCTACATCATAAAAAAATAAAAAAATAATAAAATAAATTTTCTGTAAAAAAACTTTATAAAACAAATTAAGGTGCATGTTGATTCATCAGTGCCCAGCAATTAATCTTCAAGTTTGGTGGTGTTTATCAAGTAATTACATAACTGAAAACCATAACCAAGAAAAAATTTTGCATGTTTCATTCTCTCATAATAATAACTTGCACATGAACTTCCAAGATTGATTTCCCCCCCCCCAATTTATGCATATATTGATGTTTGCAAAGCACACATGCATTCTTGAGATTAAAAATCAAACTCCAAACCTAGAGAATTATTTTCTTTGGATTCAAATTGATGATGACCTTCAATTTACCATCAAATAAAAATGATGTTGCAATTTTTCAAGAAAGGGTGATTTTTATCACCCGCCTGAGTTTGCAAAAATGGATATGAAATGAAATTATACACCATCATGGAAGCCATATGGAGATGCAATTTGAAAAATTACCAGAAAAAAAAAAGGGGGGGAGCCTTTCGTGTTCGGTCATTTACAACTTAAGCTATAGCTGGTTGTGTTAAGCAATGGGATATAAAGGTTGTGATAATGTATCTGATGCCATATTAGCTGCTACTTTCGATTCATGGCTATCATAAAAATAAAATATACCCCCCCCAGTTCTGTAAAAATTAAATTATTTAAAAATGCTTTGTAAACTTAATACGATTTTTTCTTGGTATTTTGTGACCAGTGGTAAAGTGGACAAGTGCCCAAAACGAGTGTACTCCAACCACGCGAATGAAAATCCCCCCCCTGGTCCTGCTATAGTCCAACTGCGCGAATCAAAATTTCTTCCCCGTTGCCTACAGGGTTACAATGTAACTTTTCAAAGCCAACTGTAGCCAAGAGAAAAATAAAAATAAAGAAATATAATTACATATCACAAGAACAAGTAAAAAATATCTAACAAGCAGGCTAATTACTTGAATAACAGTAATAAATGCGAGAGCTAACAAAGAAAATAAAAGGTATTGGAAATATAATATAGCAATATAAAATCTTCATTTCTATAATAATATCATAATTAAATAATTATAAAGCATACCAATTATATTTTTTAAAATTACAATCAATAATAGTCAAGGTGTCTGAACTAGACTGGAAAATTAATAGAGTTCACTGGCGTGCAAAAGATTCATATTAAAGTGTGCTAAAAATATTTTTTGTTAATTAAAGTAAAATCATGTAAATGTTTGCAGAATTAATATTAAATTAAAAAAGCTTAGCATGAAATCTATTATAACAACATTACTATGCATTTGGAGCACGGATGTATAAATTGTAAATAATTTAAATTATCATGCTAAGAAGTTTTTTCTAAATTTATCTAAAGAAAAGAATTAGATAAACATACTGCAAATAAATATAATCACTCAGGCTTCTCAATAAATAAAGTTAATTTTTTTTAACCAAAAATTAAAAATTGGGATGCAAAAGTTTGTGTAATATACTTGGAACTATTTGAATATATAATTAGTTAGAAATGTATAATTAAATTAATACCAAGCTAATTAACATTAACATTAAGCTTAATTTGATTCAATCTAAAACAACCAATCGATCAGGAACTCCGCATTACTGAAGTTTTATTGTTACTTTACGTAGAATTGTGTATAAAATAAATATTTGCGCTTGCGAAACAAGTGAGTAATGTACTGATAGTCAACAGGAATTAAAATACAGTGGCTAAAAATATAACTACTTCTCAGAAAATATGCAAAGTTGCCATGGCTAGAGAAATTGAATAATTATAGAAAACTCATAAAGTTAAGCGCTACAGTGTGAGAAGAAAATTTCTGGAAAACATATTAAGAAAATTAGATGGAGAAATAATCCTTAATTTTGATATCCATATAAACTCTATGCTTTGGAAAAAAGTTACATATAATTGAACGAGGAACCAACATCGAAAACGAGTTAATTTCTTTCCTTATTTTTTTCTTATTAGAGGGATTTATAAAAAGGTATGACAAGGTGAAAATTTTTGCAATATTTTTAAAGAATAAATTAAAGAAGTACTTTTACTTCATGAACTGAAATTTTTAAGGTATATTTTTATACAGTAAATAAGTACAAAAAAAGAAAAAGCTGGGAGATCTCTGGTTTAGAAACTCGGGTCGAACTACTAATGTTTAGTGACTTTTTTGCTTGACCATAAAACCTTTTGAAATTAGGCTGAACAATATATTAAATCACATGAACTCCTTGCATTTTAAATTACAATAGTTAGAAATATTATTAGTGTGATTAGCGACTTTTGTTAACAAAAATTCAAATAATTAATCTTTAAAATCAGCCTGAAACTAGGCTAAAAATAAGCTGATTAAGCTTTACCAAGGTGTTAAAAAACATCTTCGTTAACTAGAGTTATGATGAAAGAATTTGTAAAAAATTATCATTAAATATACATGGCATAAATACAATACAAAATATATAAATTTACCAACATGAAACTTGATACAGTGCAAACAATAAGTGAAAAGAAATGGATAAAGGAAAACTGAAAATCCCAAGATATTAATATAAGGGAGTTCGAATTTCTTTTGTTAATTATGAAAACTCTGCAGATGCTCATAATTATCATTATTAATTAAATGTGTATTAGTAATTAAATGTATGCCAAAGTACATCAGGTAGAGTAACTGGAAAACAGAATAAATATTTAAACATTTCTAGTATTAAAATATGGAATTTGTAAGAAGTTAAATAACCTTAAAATAACTTCAATGACTAAAAATGAAAATCTTAATACGGCATGTGTTGCAATAATATTAGTGTGAATTTAGAACCACTTAAGAAATTCAATTTTTAGATTTAATAATGAGATTTTTTTTAAATTAAATTAGAACTGTTTACCTAAAATGGTAAATTTGAAAGTTAAAACCATTCTGCTATCTAAGAAGATTTTTTAATATTTATCTAAACAAGAAAACTTATTCAAGTTGTGGTACAAATCAGATATTTGATAGATTGATTATGTATCCGTTTTATGTATGTCATTAATCTATCAATTTTATTATTCAAAACTGATATATATATCAGCAGCTAAAATCTACAACTTGGAAAGTCTTTAATTCTTACAAATTTACCCTTCCCCCAAAACAAATGAATTAAAATATTAGCGAGGGAAAAAGATCTAAAAAACACAATGGGTATTGAATAATAAATAACAAGATTTATAAGAATATTCCTATAAGGTAAATAAAAAAAAAATCACTTTAAAAAAAATACAAATTTTTAAAAAAATTCTGGAAAATGAAGAATTTAGTATTAACTGCAGATGACAATTCAATAAATCAAAAGAATATGTTTTACTTCTATTTTATAATCATTTCCAAAATTTAATATGGCAGAAAGAATTCTGATAATTTGGTCAAAGGCAATACTAGAGAATTTTGGAGATTACAGATTAAATCCAAGATTTATTAAATGCAAAACTCTTATATATTTTTAATGCAATTCTATACAAAGAAAATATTAGCACAATATAAACAGATAATGGGAAAAAAATTAATAATAAGAAAATTTCTTGATCAGCAATGAACTCGCTATATAAACACATCAAAATATTTTATGCGGAAAGTGTTCTTTTATACACCACAGCAAAATTATTTTTGAAGTAAAAAAGAAAACTAGTAAAACAACAACAAAATATTCTCTATAAAAAAAATCCTCCCCGTTTTCAAATTTCCATTTTTCACTAGATAGTTTGGTTTATTTAATTATGGCAAAGCACACTAGGGCTATCTGCCTAAGGGGAGGGATGCCTTCGTGGAGGACTATCTAAGGGAAACTGGCTCGTATACACGTTAGACATGGGGAAAACCGCGAAAATGCCCATGCAGCCAGCCGGTTCACAGGATTCTAACCTCGGACCGAACTACCAGTGTTCAGAGACTTTTCCATTTTTCACTAGAAAAATTCCGAGTGTTACTAGCCCAATTCTCTGTGGGTGTCTTGCTTGTTGTGTAGAATGTAAACAAATCAGATATAAGGAACATATTATTACAGGGTTCATAGCCACATTTTAGTTTTAAAAAAAAGCACTTGTCGTGATTACATTATACACAACAGCATAACCTTAAAAGAAAAATTAAACTTGTAATTTAAAATATGAGAAATTCAGTATTTATGAAGAGTGAATGAGCATTACTCAACCAAGGAAAACAATTACATTCTTTTTTTTTTTTTAAATTTAAAATAGAATTTCAATTTACAGAACTAGTTTACAATGAGAGAAAAAAACTATGTAGAACTAAATTATATTACAAGATTTAATGAAGAAATTTCGGTTCAAAACAGAGAAACTAAACAATAATAAAGACATATTTATTATATTCGCTTCGCACCGAAAAATAAATAATTCATTTTTCCACTCATATTTAAATAATTCAAATCAAAATTCTGAACATTTTCTAAATTTTCTTGTATAACAGTTTTCCCTTAACAGATATTGCAAGCAAAGTAATTTAAGTAAAAAAAAAAAAAAGGCAATTTTCTGAAAAGAAGAAGGGGGTTAGCCATTCTTTAGATTTTTCAGCTAAATAATGGTTTTGACATTTCGATATGTACATCAAATAAAAATAGCCGAATGGAACTGAAAAATAATCTGCTTAGCAAGCACAGTAAAACTCTCTTATCTCTATGAAATATCGCAAACGATATTGTGCAATACGTGTGCCTTAATTCTTCTGCACGTGATATTACTCAATCAGAATGAACTGCTGCCGGTATTCGGAGAATAAATTGTGGAAAGAAGAAAGGGAGGAAATAACAATAAAGGAAAACGCCCTTTTGCTTTGTCCAGTTTCACAGGCTTGCACTATGTGGCATATTTATCACTGAGCAGGATACGTCACACTCCATGCGATATCCCTGTCATACTCATATTGATTAATAAAGAGATTTACCAATCTGGAGTGTTTTTCATTCTAATTTTGAACAGACTGTATTAAATTTCCGG